CGCTCCGACAACTTGAAAATTCCACGCTCGTAGAAAGTCTGATCCTTTTCGGCCAAAAACTGAGTTAAGTGAGATTTTACAGCGTCATCGTCATTCAAAGTTTTACCACGAAGGGAGTTGTCCAGGGATCGAAATAAGTGGTAATCCGATGGCGCGAGATCAGGGCTATATGGTGGGTGTAACGTCAATTCCCAACCAATATCCATGAATTTTTGCCGAGTGGACAAAGACGTGTGCGGCCTAGCATTGTCCTGCTGGAAAATGACACCTTTCCAGTTGCTAACATTCACGGATAATAAAAAATAACATAATAATATAATAATAATAATTTTATAGTATAGTATAATATTATTATAGTATAATATATTATACTATAATGCTATTACATTATACTATATGCTATACTATAATGCTATATAAATACTATTATATATAATATTATTATAGTATAATATATTATGTATAATATATTATGTATAATATTATTATAGTATAATATATTATGTATAATATATTATGTATAATATTATTATAGTATAATATATTATGTATAATATATTATGTATAATATTATTATAGTATAATATATTATGTATAATATTATTATAGTATAATATATTGTATATAATATTATATATAGTATATAATATTAGTATATAATATATTAGTATATAATATATAATATTATATATAGTATAACATTTACGGATATCATAAAAATGGGAGTGAGAGACATCTATAACCGAAATCGGCAATTACTTAGTTGCCAACCCAATACACATACGATAGACACGAGTGTAGAAGAAATTGACTTCCGCCATTTACCATAACAATCTATTATAAATATAATTTCTTTCTGAAATGACGTGTTCCATTAGGTCTCGAGAATCGGCGTTCAAGAACCATTCATCAAAAATTAGCCTTCGGCGATGGAAATTCAGATCTTCCGAAGCGAAATTTTCTTTGATACACGTAACGCAACACCGCTACCGTTTTTTCTTTAAAAGGTACGCGGCAAAAAATCCTGCAGACGGGCTTCCAGAGGCACGAAGAATGCTACTGTGTAGGAACCATTAGCGGGCAAATCGAATGCCCGGATGGCCGAAGTCACTTAAACGCGTATCAGAGCGTGGAACGTTACGGAAGTGGCAGCTGAACGGCTGCAAAGTGGCGTTCTTAAAGCAAAGTTTCGTGCTTCTTCGGTTCTTACCAGTCTGGTTATCTTAAAAGGTTCGCCAGAACAATCGTTCCATAACCGGGCATGACCAACTCACCTCAAGGTAGTTCCATTAATCCGCGGGCCACTCATAAATCACCGGTAAACCTTTTATCGACACAATTCGGATAACATTGCTTCGCGTCCAGACGAAACTCATTAATCTCTCTGTAGCGAAGTACATACATGAATCCTGGCCCGATCATAGAGACGCGCCGAGAGAATTGATGATTATTTCATAGGTGGTATGAATAAAGAACGGCCAAACGCCGGGCTCCTGATTTCAGGATCCTCGATCACCTGCGTCGTTCCGGCAAGAATTTTAAGTGAGATTCTACGAAGGAACAACGTCCATTTATATGAAAATCTATACACCGATGTCTAGATCTATGTGTCAATACGGCGCCAATATTTGGCAGGCTCGCCTTTTAAGCTGAAAGATAAATGTGAATTTATAGTTCATTTCGCGAATGGCTTTTATCACTCTCGTTTCGCGAATTCCACGTTCGGCTCTTTCTACGGCTGATAAAAATTCATGATTATATTCATGGTCGACTAACTGGCACCGAAGTAATATTTCGCGGAGTGGAATTCACGAAGATAATTCGCGTTTATGTTTGCTCGAAATACGCGACTGGAAAATGTTATTGACATATAATCTCGGTGAAACCGTTAATTAAATATTGAAACTTGAATACGCAGCTCCTCGGACTCGTTCGATTCATTATACTAATGGAAAATATCATTCTGTCGCAGATGAAAGCATTGTTTTTTTTTAGTACAAGCATTGCGTTCGTCGAGTGGTTGATGGATATACAAAAGAGGTGCGCCCTCTCAACAGCTCAGGTTGAAGTATGTACCGTAGAAAACGTGTTACCTGCTGAAGTTGTGCGCTCGTGGATAAAAGCAAGCACGAATCGATCCGAACTTTCCAAGTGAAACCTCATATTCTCGTTGGGAATGACGATCGTTCGATTTTTAATAGATTCACGTATAAACAATTGTTTCTATGTGACATTGATTTGCACATTGTTTTAGAAGCTAAAGAATATTGTCTTAAAGCGTTCAATCTGCTCCATTCTATTGGGTTGGCAACTAAGTAATTGCCGATTTGAATTCCCAACCAATATCCATCAATTTTTGCCGAGTGACAAAGACGTGTGCGGCATTGTCCTGGTGGAAAATGACTCCTTTACGATTGACCAATTCTGGTCGCTTTTCCTTGACTGCTGCATTCAATTTGTCCAGGTGCTAACATTCACGGATAATAAAAAATAACATAATAATAATAATAATAATAATGATAATAATTTTATAGTATAGTATAATATTATTATAGTATAATATATTATATATAATATTATATATATATAGTATAATATTATTATATATAGTATAATATATATATTATATATTATATTATATATAGTATAACATTTACGGATATCATAAAAATGGGAGTGAGAGACATCTATATATATATATATAACTGAAATCGGCAATTTCTTAGTTGCCAACCCAATAGAAATCATGACAAGATATACATAACATAATAATAATAATAATAATAATAATAATTTTATAATATAATATTTACGAATATCATAAAAATGGGAGTGAGAGACATCTATAACTGAAATCGGCAATTACTTAGTTGCCAACCCAATAGCATTCATGGTCTGATATTTTTCAATGCACTTTTTTACACATACATCAGATGTGCTTGCTAGAAATTATCTACTGACACAGCTCGTCAGAATAATATTTTCATCAAAAGAATCTTTCTTGTTGGAAAATATTAAATTCACGAAGGACGTACCTCAAAAAATTCCTTTAAATTACAATGTCCTGAAAAGAGTCTTTTTTTTATTGGAAAATATTGAATCCACAAACGTTTCCCAATAAAATCTGCTTGTCATTCAACGCTTTCGTATCTAACAATAATTGGATTGTTGCAGTATAATATTCACAATTCG